CCTTACTGGAGTAGGCGGACTTGGAGCGGTAGCGAACGGATTGCCGCGGTGCAGGAGGGTGTGGTGTTGGCTGTGGCATGTGAAGCAGGTATGGGCGCTCGTGCAGTCTCGCTGCTGGTGCCCTCGGGCCAAACAGTTCAAGCATAACTGCTTCCTCTTAATGTAGCCGGAGCGCCCGTCCACGTTCATTTCTAGGAAACGCGGACATAAGCGGATAGGGTGGTTCTCCCTCGAACAGAGATCGCATCCCTTTTGGCCCGGAGCAACTCGAGTCTCGTACGAATTGAGCCTCCGTGCAGGGGCAGCAGGAAGTCCCGACCTTGGCGGAGATTGCCCGGAGCCACTAGGCCTAACGTCGTCGATGGCCTCCAGAGTGCGATGGCGCTCTGTCAGGAAGTTATCTAATTCCTTCCATGTTGGAATTTCGGCCTTATTATGTACGGATTGCTCCCACATAGAAAGTGTGACATTGGGGAGCTTCGAGGAAATCATAAAGACCAGGAGACAATCCCACGCCTCAACATTGATGGCGGACATTTCTAGGGCTGTCAGACAACTCTGAATGGTGGCTTGCAGTTCCCTCAGCGCGACCCCGGACTCTTGAGAAATAGCCTGGAGGTTGAAAAGGATCTTCAACTGGCTATTGACTAACAGCCGCCGATTCTCAAAACGGTCTGTGAGGCTTTGCCACGCTGCGACAAACCCCTCATGGGTAAGCGGAGCCTTAGCAACAATGGCGTGTGCGTCACCATTTGTTTTGGACAGCAAGTGAAACAACTTCTCTACCGCGGTGAGCCGCGAGTTTTGGATATAAATGGCCGCAAACAAGTCTCTAAAGGTGGGCCACCGAAGGTAATCACCCGCAAAGACCTCGGTATCCACTGGAGGTAACCGACAGCCTGTAGACGCGGGCGTGTGGACATTGACGGAAGCATGCGTGGATTGGGAGGCAATATTCTCCCGAAGCTGGGCAATACACCTCGAATATACGGAGTAACAGTAGCTGTACTTCGATTCCAGCACTGCTGAGGTGGCCGAATTGTCGTCGGACACGGCGAGCAAATCGGAGCAGCTCTCATAGCACTTCTCCACCTTCTCCCAAAGTGCCCGAATTTGGTCTCGATGGACTTCGCACATGTATTTGGAGCCTGTTTCTGGGCCTCCCGGGGTATTGATGTTGGCCTCAAATTGGCTAATTCGATCTGTCGTAGCGATGAACTTTTTCAGCGCCACTTCGACCGCACTTTGAGCCATTTTTAAAACGGAGCGAGTCTGCCTCTGTGAAGGATCGGGGATTGAATTGACGTTTTCGTCACTCTTTTCCCTTTGAATGGCCATGGTCTCCTTAGGCTTCAAAAGAGGCGTCCGAGGAGATGCGGATTGATGGCTGGGATCGGACGCGGATTTTTGTCGTCTCCCGTGGGCATTCTCAAAAGTCAATTAGCTGGTCAGCGCTTGGCGACTGACTTGCGCAATAGGGGCCTCGTTCGAAGCGGTGGCTGGTCACACTAAAGTGATGAGAACGGTGAGATCGCGGATGGATTGCGATCACAAGGTACTAGTGGGCACTAGCGGCGCCGATGTCGAAAGGAAGATTGTGTGCGGCACAAATCGAATGTGAAAACCAAACTTCAGGAACCAAACAACCCAGAAGTAGACGAGGTTTGGTGAGAGTGTAGGCGGATGTTGCCTGATGCGGAGTGAAAGCTGCGCTAAGGGAACGGAGAATGGACAAGTACCGTTCGGAATTCACCCTGATGGAAAAAACCAGGACCAAAAAAAAACACAACACGGCTACTGAGCCGGCGAGGTTGCGAACTTAGGCGACACAATCACGGATTTGTAGTGAAATGGCGGTTTTTTTTTTTTTTTGAAAAACAGATTTTATTTCAGTTAAATTTTGTCACGTATTTATTTCCTGAAATTGGACGCAGAAAATATATGGCATTCATGCAAGTATGTATATATGTAGGTATATATATGCACGTAAGGCCTAGGTTGGCACAGTGGACTGTGGACTGTATAAATGGAGGAACAGAAAGCTGTGTGGTGTAAAATAAAAGACACTGATTGGAAAAAAAATGTTACGCTACCGGTGGACTGTTAAATGAATTTAGGAATTTTTGGAAATAAATCACACCGGCTGGCCAATATTAATTATGCCTTATTTTTGTCACCACACAATTTCACTGTTCACTTGGTCAATTTTACGCGGCTTAATTGCACCAAAAAAAAGAAAAAGGTATGGTTGTATGTGTGTATATTATATGTATGCACATATGCCTCGACCGTTGGCAAGCGAATAGCGGAATAGCAAATAACGGGGAGGCCGAAAACGGCGAGGAATATGGCGGCACACAAAACGGAGTCGGATGGATAAATTGGCAGAATATGAAGACGAAGAAGAGTAGAAAATCTCACACTGCCGTTGTGTCGGAAAACTCGGACTTGGAGTTGACACGGAAGGAAAACAAAATCTTGCAGCAGTGTAAACGAAATTTAATGTTCGTACCACTGCTGAAGACCGGCAGAGAGACGGAGACGGAAGAAAAAGTCGTACTTATCTTTTGGCGTAACACTACCGGGAACTGCTGGTAGAAAAGGTATCCAGAATCCAAAGTATCCAAAATATCCAGAAAATCCGGCTTGAAGGACCAAAATGTTGTAGTGGGGCGGTGTTGCCGGAAAAAGATGCCTCTTGATGGTGGTGGAAGTCGGGGGAGTCGTGGAATCGCCCGTCTGCTTTATTCACTTCATACAAGAAAATTGACTTAACTTAACTTAGCCGACGGCCGACCACTGCAGGCGTGTCTCGGATCTCTCCGATCTTATTTTACGTGGCGTGTTCCACACTGAAGGGATTACAACCACGGCACTCGGGGAAAGGATGGTACGCCTGCCAGCGCCCCAGACTAGAAGCTATAGCTATGTACATAGCAACCACTCTGGTACCTGTCGAATATGCGATTGCCGGGCAACATACTCCCTCTGGATAAGAGGCGAGGTGTATCTATCACCTCTGCCGCTCTATGGGTCGCAGCACCCGAGTTGTATAACGCAACTCCACGTCGAATCAAAAGATTCTACCCGCGATTTAGGTATCAACCACAGCCACCACGATATTCCCACTAGGGGGCCTACCTCAACTGGTAGTGCTAGGACACTATCCAAACCCGTGGTACCGAAGTTTGTGGGCTCTGTGACCCACCCCTTTAGCTCCGATAAGCTCGGATGGGGGGCCCTGCCATGTTAGTCGCCTCTTACGACAAGCTATGGCGAACTGTGGTGGTATTCTTCGCCGCCAACCACACGGCACGGCCGACCGCTGCAGTTGGACCCGAGAGAGCGAGAGTGCAAGATTGTGCAGAGAGGGGCGAGGGCGGATGCGCTCTTCAGCGCGGATGCGCTCTTTAGCGTGGATGCGCTCTTCACGCGCTCTTCTTCGGCGGCACATTGGCCCCTCACCTGAACACACATCATTCATTTTTCACATCTGAAATCTATTGACCATATGAACTCAAATAAAAAAAAAGAATATAAATATCTTGCTTAGTTTTTGAGTTACCATATGATCTTGAGGTTGTGGGCCGTGTCACGCCCCTATTTCCCCCCATTTATATCTGAAATCTATTGACCATATGAACTCAAATCAAAAAACAGAGCCTAAAAATCTTGCCTTGTTCTTGAGACTTTAATTTTGGCAAGAAAAGTTGCAAAATTTCCTATAGTGCAATGATGGCTTGGTGGTCACAGACCACGTACCGTTCTACAACCTACGCGAAGAAGATGCACCAAGCGCGAAAAGCAGGCACTAAAAGTCCAAGAGGAAGCGCTTTAGTCGAGTGCCGCGACTATAAGATACCCGTTACTGTTTAACACAATTTTAAAATATTCATTTTGCTAGTGGAAATTCCCCAAGCACCACCTATTGTCGGAGAAAGCATGTGAGTAACTGATAGTGACGTCACTGCCCGTGTGAGGCCTTACAACTTAAATTTCTTTATAAATAGCGACTATGGTTCCGAAAAATCTTTGGTAAATCGATAAGTATTGACATAAATATGTTATACAAGGTCAAACGAAAATATACATACACTATAATTTTATGGACGCCACAGTTTTTCGGGTTTGTGGGCGTGGCTTGATCGGAAAAAAACAATTCGCATAAGGGGAACCATAACCGTCGTGACCGTGCGAAAACCGTCTTTTGAACTAGGTGGGCGTTATACAGAATGAATATGCAGAATGCTGAAATAAACTTGCGCTGCCCAGGGACCTCAAGAATCTTCATGCTTAATCTCAACTTTCTATCTGTTATAGTTCCTGAGATCGTCTTTATAGGGTCGGAAACGCTTCCTTCTATCGGTTACATACTTTTTAACGATTCTAGTATACCCTTTTACTCTAAGAGTAATGGGTATAAAAACCCGGGCATGACGGTATCCCCACTGCTAAACATCATTGGCCACAATCCCGCGCTAAGTATGACACTCCTTCAGAGTATGAAAATTCAAAATTTGGAAGTTATCCAAAATCTTAAGGAGGTTAAATCTGCTATATCCACCAACATTTGGTTCGCTGCTGGCGTGTGCATCAGTGGCTCGAGTATTGAGAATAAGTCGAGAACACGATAAATACACCAGGTTGCTTATAGACTCAAGGTGACCGAAGACATCCATAGTTAAGGTCAGCTAAGGGGTAAAAATAAGTCTTATCTTTCCCGAGAGATTTTTAGTTGACCCTTGAATAAACCTTAAACTTTGGGTAATTTCACAATCACTTTGTGGGTTGGTTCGCCGACTAAATTTGTCTTTGGTCATCTGGTGTCGTGATGCTTGCACATACCGCATGGCCAAATTCTTATATGGCTGCGCAGGTGGCACGTTGACAATTCTTTATTGTTTTTCGCTTATAAGTTTAGTTTCCCCAAGACTTAACCAGGACAAACGTTGTAAAAATTAAAATTATTGCTTATCAAATATAATAAAAATGAATTTAGATTGTGGTACAATGAAAACTCAAACATTTATTACTGTATCCATAATAAAAGAAATAATATAGTATACTTTTTCAGAATTGGAGTCACCAAGTCAAGCATTGTAGGCAGTCGTTCCGAAACCGTGGGCTAACATTTCTTTGTCAATCCAAGTTCGCGCCAAGGCAACGCTAGAATAAGCTGCTGGCACTTCATCGTTGCAACCAATACCCCAAGCAACTATACCACTTTGCTGATATCGATTTTCAGATACCATTCCAATTGGACAAGCAAGTGGGGCTCCACCATCGCCTTGGCAGGTATCAATGCCGCGCTGCCCACCCGCGCAAATAAATGATCTGTCTAAGGCGAACTTAGGTCCTAGTCTAGTGCTTCTGAGAAGAACTTGACAATAGTTAAATTCGACAATGGGTAGGGGAACACTTTTCATTATTGCGCTATATTTTCCTAAGGAACCGAATGCATCTTTTCCCCAGCCTGTGGAAAAACATGTGGTTGCTGCTGCTGGTATAGAATCTTGTTTTGGTAAACATATTACGTTGATATGATCGTCTAATACGAAAGGTTGACTTAGAATTACAAGTGCGAAATCATTTGCTATGTTCCTGCTTTTGTATTCAGGGTGAGTAACAACAGCTTTTGCTGTTCTTTCTTGATAAGGTAAACGCTCTTTCGTTGTTTGTGTATCCCACTCTCCAGCTCGAACCATAAAGGTTCCTATTCCATGACGCTCAACACAGTGTATCGCTGTTAAAACCACCTGTTGATGTATAAGTGATCCAGCACAAAAATAGCTCAAGTTTTTTAAGTGCAATAAAGCTACTGTCCATGGAAACTCGCCAAAGCCAGCTTCATTTTGCGTTACCCCCGAAAGAGTAAAATCTAATCCACCTATGTTTCGAACACCGCAGCCTAGTGATTGGTTTGTCCTTTGAACTAAAGGCGTTGGATTTAATATCTCACTACGTGTCCTGTTATCCGAACAACATACGTCTACAGATGCAGGACATATCGGATCATCAGTGTTGAAGCGTATATCTATTACACCAAATCCGTCAAACGAACCATCCTCTGTTACGCTATTTGTAGATGGGTCGCATTTATAATAGGGTACGCAATTACATTCTGAAGATTTACCACTAATTGAATTAAAACCGGAATGTGGACTATCTGGCCTCAAAGGCTCAGGTGTAACTACTAATCCGATTCCAGTGATTTCTTGTACAGGTGTTTTGTGTTGCAGATTACTGTTGGTGTTAAATATTTCTTCAATATTTTTCTCTGCGTTTAAGTTTTGCTGAGGAGTTGTTGTAGACGGACATAAAGTTAAAATAGCATATAATGCGATCAAAATACTTGTAATGCCTGCCATCGTAATATCTGTAATATAAGATAATCAATTAAATTTAGAATTCAAACAAAATGGTATAATGTATTTCTTAAAAAATAGGAGGAAGCATTTCCCATTCTATAAGGTATTCTTGATCAGGATAATAGTCGAGTCGATCTAAGATGTAAAGCGGAAAAGGGCAAATTTGTGGACCACATTTGAGTAGACAGGCTACGTATTCTATTCTAACAGAATCAGAAGTAGATGTACCCAAAAAATTAAAATTGGAAGATTGTATCGCAATTAATGTACTAATTTAGGGTAAAGGCCTTACATGCTCAGGAACATCCGCGTTCTAACAACAGATAACGACATTGTCGAGAATGAGAAGTGTACAAATAAATCAAAGTTTAAATTTGACACAGCTACTAAACTAGCAGAGATATTTAAAAAAACGAGGCATTGTTAAGAATGTTGCATATTATTAAAATAATAACAAAAGTTTTTACTAATTTAAAAAACCAAATTATTTTTTAAACAAAAACTAAAAAATAGGTCATATAATAATATAATATATGCGACATTCTCAACATTACTGTGTTTACATTTTATTTGATATTTTGCTAGATCAGTAGCGGTATCGGTTTAAAACTTAGCTAAAACTATAATTAGGGAGCTTAATATGTATACTCGTATGTTCGCAATACAAAACAATACTGATCTCATCGAGTTCATATGTAATCTGTCAGCAAACTGATCCATTGTGATACTGTGCGAATTGAACACGAATGAAATGAAAAACCCTATTTTAATGCGATCATGGCAGATTACATTTTTAGTGGCGCCATATTTAACCAGACAAGTTTCTAAGATACGGAAACCTTTTGCCCTTGGAAACCCGATTTAAAAAATACTGTGATTGAACACGAATGAAATGAAAAACCCTATTTTAATCCGATCATGGCAGATTAGATTCCCTGTCTGTTGTTAACCAATTTATAAATAATTACATATATGTACAGAAAAATGCCCTGTATACTTTTAGTGGCGCCATATTTACCCAGACAAGTTTATAAGATACGGAAGCCTTTTGCCCTTGGAAACCCAATTTAAAAAATTCTTTCATATACACACTTATATAGCGAACAGCAATAAAAGAGCAAAACACCCGAACGCACAGATCGCTCTGGGTGTTTTGTGTATTTGCTTTTTTGTCACCCACTCAATTCTATGCACTTGAGTCTATTGCACAGACACCCAAAAAACTTACAGCAAAGGAAGGGAGTGTCTGAAACACCCATGTTTTGGGATGAGTGATTCGGGTGTCTTCAACTGATCTGAGTGGTTCGGGTGTCTTCAGCTGTATGCATGAGCAGGTCATTGAGGATTGACCGAATAACTTTACATGAAAGGAAGGAAGGAAATCCCAATAATTTAACATGAATATAGCCCCTTCAGAAAGTCGAAATAATATGTTTTCCGTTTGGAATAATTTTAAGCTTAGAATAGTATATTTGTAAAAATGAAAGTAATTGCCGTCTTCAGTAACTAATATTAAAAAAGAAAAACCCAATATTTTAGGATTTTCCGCGTCGTCATCAAGCCATCTACCTGCAAACTTATTACAGTTTATTGCAGATGCGTATAAGAATACAGATAGATCGCTTAATGATGACACGGAAAATCCTAAAATATTCGGTTTTTATGTTTAAAATATATGCTTGGAGTGTAAATCTTTCATATGAGACATTACATTTTAATATCCGTTACATATGTGTGTACAATGCATAAGATCTCAAAAACTATAAGTAAAGACGGTGGGTAATTAAATTGTAGATTTGAGAGATGCCTCAGCGGAATAGTCTTTCGACATCCGGCCATGCAAAACACGAAAAACTAAAAACGCAAAATTTGGCGAGATGGGCATCTATTAAGTTGGGATAAGAGAACGAATTACTGTGGCGTGCATAATATCCAAGATATGCATGTTGTACTAAAAAAATGTTTCCATCAAATTTATAGAAATTTATAAAAAAAATGGGGGTATAAGTGCTCACTTGGACAGTGACGTCATCGCCAGTTACTTCACATTCTTTATATGGTGTTCTATGTCGTCTATGTCTAGCAATATTGTTGTTTTAGAATTGGTCATCATTATAACCTTATTAAACGCGGCGCTCGACTGTAGCGATTATTCTTATTTGCATAACATACGTACGTGTACGTGTGTATAAAAATCAGTAGATTTGTGACATGGATTTTGCTGCGAAGGATGGTTCGGTTGCCCAAGTCAACCCTTTTTCTTGCGTGTTTCGCTTCTTTTAGATTTTCGTTGAAAAATATGTAACAGGTACTCGTACCCGTACTTACTTACATATGTACATATAATATAAAACAGGATTTCTAGCCGAATCGATCAAGCCATGGTTGTCGGTCAATATAAACGGTAAGATTTTGGGAACTATAAAAGCTAGAATGTTCGGATAACGCAACACCAAGCGCTTTATGTATTATCCATGTATGATGGATTACGTGTTTAATATATGAAATACATTTATTTCGTCAATCCAAACCTATCCCTTTTCCAAAAATTTTCCAAATCGGTTTATTTATGTTTACTAAACCAGCTGAGATATGTATGTATGTACATACATACATATGCCTTATGTACATATGTATGTACATACATACATATGCCTTATGTACATATGTACATATGTTTATATGTGTATGACTTAGTTCACGGTTATACCAATAAATTGATCTCTATCTACATACATATATAAATATGTATATTTATGTATGTATGTGCATATATTCTTTACTGGGTCAGAAACGCTTTCTTCTACCTTTTACATCATTTTAAACAAACACTATAAACTCTTACTTTACCAGTTATTATTATTGGACTTTTCGACCTGTGACATTAATTTTTGTAGAAATGGGAACCGATTCAACATCTAATAAGGGTTTTTCATAAAAAAATTTTAATATAATTTAATTTAATTTAAAATTAAAAAAAAAAATTAAAATTAAAATTTTTTTTAGTATAACAAATAAATACGTACATTTATTAAACGCGAATAAGCCAACTTAATGGCTATAATACGTTGAGTTTAGTATTTAAAAAATAACATAAATACATAACAATGTTTATAACTAAGTTAACTAGTAGATCAATACTTCTAAATCTGAATAAGTGTTTTAGGGCTCGAGAGTCCTCTTGCCTAGAGATCGGCAGGGTGCCTTCGCTTTAGACGTCTTATAAATCTTGTATTAGCAAGGGAAGAAGCTAAATGGTTGGTGTAAGCACTACGAAAAGATCGTTGTACCGACTCGAGAGCCTGTTTATCTGTTCCATAATAAAGGGAAGGTGGAGGTCACTTATTAGGGCTTCGTTTGTGACGTACCAAGGCGCATGCGCAACGCCCGGTTTTGAACTTTGTACTTTTATGACGTTGGAGTCTGAAGCCATGCCCCATAATTGGATGCAGTTCAACATCGGCACTTTGTTACCAAGACTTAGCTTGCTAGTTGGCTTAAACAACCAGTTAAGCTTTCTAAGGTAAGCACAAAAACTTGCTGATATTTTCAGAGTATGATGTTTCCATGTAAGTCGCTTATCCAACATAACACTCAAGTACTGCCCCTGTGATGATTGTGGGATGATAAAATCGTGAAGCTTAAGCTCAGGAAGGGACTGCACTCTCAAACATAAAACTTCGATCAAGTAATTAACTTCGACATAAGTAAGAGGAGTTGTTCAGTCGGGAGAAGAGATTTCAACTTATACACCAAGTCGTCATGTTATACTTGATTAAAGGCTTTCTTAACGTCGAAGAACGTAGCAGAGCTTTATTGCTTATTCTCAAAGGCATTCAAATATGGTGCACATCTCCATGGACTTGCTCAGACGTCCCATGTAGATGCCTAAAACCAAACTGGTGGTCGGGGATGGCGTCCTGAGCAGCTCTTACTCTCAAAATTCAACTTAGAAATATTCTCTAGAATATTTTAGAAAATGTAGGTAGTAAGCTTTTCGGCCTATATAAAACGTTAAGGTTCTCCAGATTTGCTGGTTTTGGTAACATTCATATCACAACACACTTCCATTGGAAGGGAAGTATTGGATACGTAACATTGAGTTGATAAGGAGAACAAAGAACAGGACTCCCTGTTTAGGCACCGCCTTGCTAAAGTGCATATTTTGGATGAGGGGGCTAACCTCCTGTGGACTTATGTGTTGAATGGCGACTACAACCGGAGAAGGAACGTTGAGGAAGGCCAGTGTATCTCCGACATCCTCAGGGCTCGCGATGTTACTTGGCGCATACTATTTCACTAGCTCGTCAGCAAAAGCTAATGGAATCTCGGAGTCAAATTTTCACTATGTACCGTCAGTTTTATTATTTCATTAAGAAGCAAAGTACTCCCACTTGGTTTTATGTAGTAGTTTTATGTTTGTCTTCAGCTTGTCGATACGATCGATTATCGGTCGTCTCCTGTGATAAGGATTCCTCCTCACGACCATTTTAGTCAGTATGGATTCTGACACAGAAATCATAAGCCCATAAATTATAGTTTTTAAAATCAGTGCACGTGTTTAAAGAAGTAATAAAATGTAACGATATGGAGAACCGATATACGTTCATGGACACACCATAATAAAATTGTACAGTGCATAGTCAAGTATAAGTCAATGTTTCAAGTTGTTTATTCAAATTTCAGAATTTTTAGATTTCAGTAAGTAAGGAGAAAAGGGGTGACAAGTAAAGTTGCAGTAATTGTTTTCTGAGAACATGTTTCTAAGATATTTCTAGTAGCTAGAACATAGGACATAGGCTGATTATAATACATCAGTTTTATGTTTGGCTGAATTGATTTTATAATTTTAAATACTTATATGCACGGATACTCGATATGTATGTGTGCGCCTGAGTCAGGTATTCTATAAGATCCTCCCTCCATTGGAGTGCGCTCGGGTCTGCTTGTGCGCGGAGCTGCGAACTCACCCCAACCCTCAAATGTGTGCTGATATCTGCTTGTGCGCGGAGGTGTGGAAATTTATTTTTAAGCGTTTTAATGAAAAGTTGCAGTTTTTAACTTACAATCGTATAAAGCGTACTATTGGAAAGGGTTTGAAAAATGCTTTCCAATGACACCAAACACACCAAACGTAATGTAATGATCTTGGACTCCTATGACCTATACCCGAAATATAGAAATTGGAAAGCATTTTGTGTGAATTCTCTGGATCTGAGCGGAAAAGTCTCCAAGCTACCGGAAATACACAAGCGAACTCTGGAGTTTGCCCAATACCGCAAGCAGCTTGAGGTTTCTTTCGTCGTGTACGCCGAATTTGAATGTGAACTGGAGCCCAGAAATATTGAAGTAAGCCATATAAGCTCATATACCTATAGCTTATGCTTATTATACAAGATTAAGTGTGCCTTTGATTCTACGCTAGATAAATTTGTAATAAAACAGGTAGTAACGCAGGATACAATTTTGTAGACTCTCTTGTACAATTTTAAACCAATCATAATGACTCCTGAAGACGAGTTTGAATTTCAAGATTCATTAAATTGTCATATTTGTAAAAAAATATTATTAAATGATAGAGTTAGGGATCATTGCCATTTAACAGGTTTACTTAGGGGTGCAGCTCATTCTAAATGTAACTTGGAGTATAGACTATGTAAATTATACCACGGTTTTTCCAAATTTTTTCTAAATATTTAGGGAGGGTCTATATTGAGACCTCCAATTACTGAAATTTTTGCTTTTTAAGGGTAGTAGTGAGCACTTGGGGAAAACGGAATGAATTACCAACGTAATGTAATGATCTTGGACTCCTATCACCTATGCCCGAAATATAGGAATTGGGAAGCATTTTGTCTGAATTCCCTGGGTCTGCAGATGCTGCTCTATGACATAAGACTGTTATTATATAAGATTAAGTGTGCCTTTGATTCTAAGCTAGATAAATTTGTAATAAAAACAGGTAGACTCTCTTGTACAGTTTTAAACCAATCATAATGACTCCTGAAGACGAGTTTGAATTTCAGGATTCATTAAATTGTCAAATTTGTAAAAAAATATTATTAAATGATAGAGTTAGGAATCATTGCCATATAACAGGTTTATTAAGGGGTGCAGCTCATTCTAAATGTAACTTGGAGTATAGACTATGTAAATTTATACCAGTGTTTTTCCATATAATCACATGAAGGTATATGTTGAGAGTAACCCACGAAATGGCGATCACGTTCGTATCAGCAAGTATAAACATGTATTTGAAAAAGGGTATACACCGAATTATACAACAGAAATCTTTAAAATTAGAAAAGCCAACAATACATTCCCCAAAACATACTTACTTGGAGATTATAAAGGTAATCCGATTCAGGGTGGGTTCTCTAAAGAAGAACTCAAAAAGACTGAATTCCCGAACACATTTCAAGTTGAAAAAATTTTAAAGCGAAGAGGTGATAAAGTTTTGGTAAAATGGCTTGGTTTTCCAATGGACGAAGCTGGCTGGGTATTACATTTAATAAATATGTTTATATATGTACAAATGTACAATTTTATTATGTGTATACTAACAATTTAAATAAAATATTATGTTTTTTAGAATTTATTTTTGTTTACTTATATTTACCACAATCTCGATCAAAATAAAACATTTCCAATTCAATTGACTTATAAAAAAATTCTTGTTCTATGTTAACTTGCTTATCTCTAAGTTACTTTAATGTATTGACATCTGTATATCTCCTATTTATTATATCTCTTAAGAATATATTTTCAAGTTCTTAGAAATTGATACTATATACCTATATTAAATACCTTATTTGTTGATATTTTGTGTGCCCTTGATCTAAACATTGTCCTACTACCATCTAGTGGAGTTCCAGTGAGTAATACGATCCATAGTTAAATTTCTGGAACTCACACTTTTTGCTTTATTATAAG